TGATCTTTAATGAAACTGAGGTTTTGTTCTCATATATATAATATAAAAGACCTTAGTACCAAGGTTAAAATTCAGGTAATTGTTACGATAAATATTTTGGAGCCACAATATATGCCATTTTTTCTTATCTACACCTCTCTTAAACTTGAAATATGTACTGTATCTATATATCATTTAAATCCAGATGGCAAAAAGGAACACATTTGACAAATTAGAACCCATTGTCTCTGAAAATGAAGATTTTTCAGCTTTCCCATGCCTTTCTATGTACAATTTGGGATCCCTTTGTTGCCTATTCCAGTACCATGGACAATAGCTATAGGGTCAACAAATTTATCTAAAATAAATGGTGATGTTTGAATATAAATTTTACATGTCTCTAGAAAATAGGACTTTTAGACATTTCTCATTTATTTCTATTTAAAATTTAAACCGCTGTGTGGACCTATCAAAACTCCGAGGGTCATGGATTGAATTCGAATAAACTTGAATTATCTCTATATCAGAAAACTTCAAGGAAGTTTCAGTATTTTTGATTGGGTGGTTCTTGAGAAGAAAAAATTAAATAACCCCATTTTTACTATTTCTTAATTATTTTCCCCTGAACAGAGTATTTGTCAATTTATAGTTTGAAGTAGGTTTGAATTCCCATTATCTCAGATTTTTTAGTAACAAAATTTGGTTGAAATTGGCTCGATGGTTCTGGAGAATTCGAAAATATGGAAATGTGAAGCACAAACACGGAAAACAAAAGATCATTTTGCTGATTCAGGTAAGTTAACTATGAAAAACAATTCACAATAAGAGGCTCAGGGGCCTTAAGGGTCACCTGAGTATAATATAACGATCCATAGATTAAAACAAAATAAGCTGATAAATAAAGCTATGTTGCCCAAAAACAAGAAAAATATGATGATCAGGGATCAGCAAAATATTAATTCAGTACTCAATAACAAATCGTAAAGTTGATCTATTTATTTGCCTGTACTTTCCCGCATTTTGTCACTAAACAAAACAATAGTTCTAGAGCACTATTAATTAACATATTTCATTCCCCCTCGCATTGGCCTCTTTTAGTGTTCGAAGATTATTTACAAAGATACAGTATTTTTGTCCCATTTTCATTTATCTATTATTTATAAGTTAACATGACCATTAAAAAACTACTGAAAGTAAAATTTGTATTAAATATTATAAAATTTCTTGTATAATTCTGCTATTCACTTGACCTTTTAAGTCACATTATTTACAGTGACTGACTATCACAGGTGAATAGCAAAGGGGAATAACCTCTTTCAGTAGAAATTAATAAATTAACCAAAGGGTACAGAATTATAAAATCTGGTAAAAACACCCTTGCTTATTACAACTTTATATACTCTATTTGCCTCCTAGATGACCAGGAGCAGAGAAGATTTTCAAAGAAATAATTTATTTTCACTATAGATACAATATAGCCACACCCTAATACAAGAACCCCTAACCCAGGGGCCAAGATATTCACAATTTTGAAAGATACTCTCTTGCTAATCAAAACCACGCACTTAGTATGTTTCCTTAATAAGAATGGGCAGAGGAGAAGATTTTCATATAAATAATGCATTTGTAATATACTCTTCAAAAAAAAAAGAAACGCATAGTAGAATTTTAGTGACACATTGAACATAAAGATTATTTAGAAAAATTATGTATTGAAATAAAGAAATGTGGTTAACAATAGGTCTACAATCTAAATGTCATAATTACTCAAGAATTTTAAAATCATAGTTCAAGGTCATTAAAGATCAATATCTTGTAAACCCCCCCCCCCCCATAGCCTAAAACGGCATCTAATGGAGGCAAATGATTGTAATAAAAATGTATAGGAAATACTCTCCCATTTTAAATATTGAGCTTTGATCAGCTCATGCAGAGTCTGGGACGCGATTGTCTTTGGCAAATCATGCCAATTCATTTTGTCCCTGCATGCTCAATTGGGTTTAAATCTGGCGATTTAGATGACCATGGCAGAAACAGATTGCTGTTGCTTTGCCAGAATTTGATTGTCAAACGAGTCGTAATTGGCTGTGTATTGTCAGATTGAAACACGACTCCAGGATGCTGTAATATTGGAAAGGCATGTGCAGGTAGAACATCGTTAGAGTACCTTTTTCCATCAAAGTCCTTTGAATATGAACCAAATCAGTCTTACTTTTATGTAATACCGTTTTTCATATCATTACACTACATGTACCACCACCAAATCTATCTACGTCCTGCAGGCAGTTTTCTGTTAAACGTTCATTACGAAGCTTATACACTCTTAAACGTATAACAGGCTTTCCAATAAACATTCTGGAATAGAAGCTTAACGAAAATGTTCAGCGTTGTTGCTGTGGCCATACTCTGTTGATCTGAGATCTTTGAAGTCGATATTTGCAATCTTGTGGGATCAGAACAATGGCACGAATAATCCTCTGGCAATAATTCAGCATTCCATAGTCAACTGCAAACGTACTTGTTAGATGTTCTGTGCAGTTCAGGGATAGCTAATGCTGTAGATGACGTCATTGTGACGTCATTGTGAAACATTCATGAAAATTAAGAAAACCACTGAAGCGATCCTGAACTGCTGATGTTACGTGTGGTCTGCCATATTTTTTGGCGAACATTGGGTGTTCCATGTTAATTGTATATGTTTTATAGGTTATATATAGTGCTGTGCGTATCATTAAAACCTCTTGCAATTGTAGACTGTGGTAGAGCTGCTTCCAGTCGCCCATTTTCCTCTTTGTGATATGCAACATTCAGATGCAGCATTTTTAAATAGCGTCAATTTTCAGATAAAACCAAAAGAATCGAGAGCCCTTGCTTTTGATAGCCCTTTGGTGCCTAAAGGAATTGCAAATGAAAATTGAGAAAAATTATTTTTTAGCATTTTGCAAAAACAGATCTCTTTGTCTGTGAGATTTGTAGAATAGCTGTACAATTAACAAATGCGTTAAAAAATAACGAATTTTACTCGAATGAATCATGTCCATCTAAAAAATATGTATCACAAAACCATCTTACATTTTGCAGGATATTATTCCTATTATGCGTTTCTTTTTTGAAAAGTATTTATACCGGTATTCAACAGAACCACACCCTTACACCAAAATCGCTGATCTCGAAGTTATGAATTTCAAACTTTTTGAAAAGACTTCCTTGCTCGTCATAACCATGCAATCAGTTTTCTGTTAAATACTCAGGGGCAGAAAAGATTTTCAACCCCCCCCCCCCCCAAAAAAAATGGATTGCCACTATATATTAAGTAGACCCCCCCCTCCCCCCCAATCCGTCATGAACCCCTAACCATGGGGCTACAAATTTCACTATTTTGGAAGACGTTTCCTTAAGCATCTTAACATTGCATTTATTTTATCTACTAAATACCCAGGAGCAGAGAAGATTTTCAAAGAACTTATGCAATTTTACTATATAATCAATAGAGCCCCGCGCTAACACCAGAACCCGCGACCCAGGGGCTAAGATATTCACAATTTTGGAAGAGTTGCCCTTGCTCATCATAACTATATACTTGGTTTATCTGTTAAATATCCAGGGGCAGAGAAGAATTTCAAAGAAGTAATGTAATTTCACTATATAATCAATAGAGCCCCGCCCTAACACCACAACCCCCGACCCAGGGGCCAAGATATTAATAATTTTGGAAGAGGCACCTTTGCTTATTATAAGTATATACTTGGTTTATCTGCTTAATACCCAGGAGTAGAGATATAGATCTTAAAATAAATAATGCACTTTCATTATATAATCAATAGAGCCCCCCTTCCCGCAGAACCCCTGATCTTGGGGCCACAAATTTCAAAATTTTTTAAGAGGAACCCTTGATCATCATATCCATGCACCTAGTTTATCTGCTTCATATACAGGGAGTGAAAAGAAGCTTTTCAAAGAATTTACACATTTTCACTATTTGATCAATAGAGCCCTAGCTGCCCTAATTCCAGAACCCCCGATCTTGGGCCAAGATATTCATAATTTTGAAAGAGGCACCCTTGCTCATCATAACTTTATACTTGATTTATCTGCTAATCACTTAGGAGCAGAGAGAAATTTTTCAAAGAAAGAATTCACAATTTTGAAAGAGGCACCCTTGTTCATTATAACTATGCACTTAATTAGTTTGTTTAATACTAAGGAGCAGAGAAGAAGATTTTCAAAGAAATAATGCACTTTCACTGTATGATCTATATAGCCTTTCCTTAGCACCAGAACTCCTGATCCTGGCCCCATAAATTTCACAAGATTGGTAGAGGACTCAATGCATATTACAATCATGCCAACAGTTTGACTGCTTGATGTCTAGGAGTAAAGAAGAAAATTTTTAAAGATTGCATAAATTTTGGTGTTTTAAGCCCCCCCCCCCCCCCGGGGGGGGGGGGCAGGGACCGAGAAATTCACAATTTTCGTTTCCCTTCACATATAGATGCTTTATGCCAAAATTGGTTGGAATTGGTTCAGCGGTGTTAGGGAAGAAGCTGAAAATGTTCAAATGTTAATTTACGACGTAGGACAAACGACGACCGCCGACAGACATAGGTCACCTGTGTCACTCAAAGAAAGCTTTGAACGTTGTTGACAATAACCGACCAAGGTACGAGGATTGAGGAAAGCTCACCAAATTCACAGAAGTAACCAGTAGTACCATTCTTGCAGATGCAAATGAAAAATGGAGCCGTAGGTACTTGCTGACATACACCATTTGAATGGCATGGTTTGCGGTCACATTCGTTAATTGCTAGATAAGGAAGAAGAGAACCATTTATTTTATTATTTGTCATAAATTTTCAATAACTTCTTTGAACATTTGTTTTATAACAATGTAGAAAAATGTAGTAAATCTAATTCCGATCGACAAAAAACTTTTACCTATAGGAATTATGAACTTAATTTCTTTCTTTTTAATATAAGCCTATCTTCATTCATAAAATATTTTTTAAAGAGTAAATAAATACTGGTTTCACATAATTTCCCAGTGTATGGACGTGGGCAGGAGCAAGTAAATCCGGAGTTATCTACAAAAGGCAAACAGTGGCCCGAATACTTGCAGGGGTTTAAGGCACATGGATCTGAAAATAAATCCAATCATATATATATATATATATATATATATATATATATATATATATATATATATATATATATATATATATATATATATATATATATATATATATATTACAAGAACAAAGTAAAAACCACTACATTTTGTTCACCTTCACGTGACCTTTCATATGAACATAAGGATAAAATGTACATTTTACTAAAATAAATAAAAATTATATTGAGAACTTCCAAATTGATACAATTTCAATACGGAAATATATATATATAAAGAGAGAGAGAGAGAGAGAGAGAGAGAGAGAGAGAGAGAGAGTACCTGGAAGTTGGACAGTTACAAATAAACATCTCTCTGTTGAAGCTGTGCTGGAATAATACAACAGCAAAATCACATCACAAGAAAAGCTTTAACAATTGTCTCATATATCAAAATACATGCAGAAGTACATAAATATCAGGCATGAAGTACCAAAGAGGCCAGGGGGCCTGTTTGCCTACCCCCCCCCTTTTTTTTCCAAACGCAACCACTTACTTTTGAAAATGTTCTTTAAACGGGTGGTTGACACCCCCCCTCCCCCCCCGCCCTTTTTTTGTTGCAGTTCACTCAAATCAGGGTAATGGGTAATATATATTTATAAAATTTGGTTGTGAAAAAAATTGGAACCATCCCCCTCCACAAAATAGGATTTTTGAGTTTAGAAACATTTTCTTTTCTTGCTTGTCCTATTTATCAATTAAGTTGTCATTTTTTGGCTGGCTGTCCCTTTTCAAAAACAATACTACGCGCCTTACAATTTATTGTTAGATTTTGATATAATTTCATGTACGTTCAACTGGACTTTTGAGTGAGGGTACTCCTGTGAACTATGAATTCAAACGAAATTGAAACAAAACCAACGAAACAAAACTAAAATCGAAATCACAAGAGACAAAGTCAGCTTTAATTATTATATTACTACTTTATCGAAGGAATCTTCAGGGTAATAAAGCAAAGTTTCCGTTACAATTACTAGTATCCGCAGATTCGACAAAATTATTTTACCAAAGCATACAAAACTCTACATTGATGAGTCAACGAATTGTAGACATTGATATTTGTCAAAATACTAAAAAAGTTAGCATGAAATATTTATCCACTCCAATACAATTCACAGAAAAATCGGTACCTTTTATCCTAACAAAAAAACCCCACTATAATAAACTTTAGTTAAAAACCCAATTTTTTTTTACTGTACGGTTACCTGATGAGGGGAAGTGGTCTTAGTTGTACTGGTGTTATTTACCTGGAGAGCCCCAATACTCAAGATGTCAAAAATCCCTATACACATTGTAGTACACAGGAAGTCTGTTTTTGGTAATCAGGATGAACATTACGCGTTTTTGTATAATTTTGAGAGAAACTATTGTAAATAATTTTTATATTTTGATATAAAATTGGTTAACTCAGCGTTTTCACCGATATCTTTTGAAGGAAAAAAAAATTATAAAAAAATATCTTTTTTTTTTTTTTTTTTTTTAAAAAGTAAAATGAAAAATAAAAGCACGAGTAAAAACTACAAAGCAATCATATCAATATTTTTTAATCGTCAATAAAAGAAATCATCATTCAATATGAAAATATTTAAGCAAAGGATTATATATGTACTGCAAATTCTGCTAAAACATCTTAAAAACGTTCTGTATTATGAATTTCTGAATAATGGGGTCAATCAAAAGAAATTTTTTGGAGCATAACAGTAGATATACTTCATCGAAAAACTTCATGTAATTCAGATAAATAGTATGGGGGGGGGGGGGCAGGTTTTTCTGCACATAAATTTCTATTATTGATTAAGTATGAAAAAGGCCTGTAACCCCCCCCCCCCCCCCCCCCCTCTTACACACACACACACTTTTTGTTGCAGTATAGTCAACGTCGAATCCTTGCTTAGTTTTTTTTATTTTCTAGTCGAAAAAATTAGATTTTTTTGCTTGTCAAAGAGTTTTCAGGTGTGTTGTCAGCCCCCCTCCCCCCTCTTCAAAAACAATGCTACGTACCTGTGACTTATATAAACTTTCAAAATAAAAGCTTCCAAGCTTGAAGAGGCTACATTGTGCTAGATTGCTACGGATATCTAAAACAAGTAGACCGTTCACAGTCTATACTATTTCGTTTGATTTGGGTTCAATTTTGGTTTTGTTTCGAGATGTGAGAGAGGATCCAATGAGATATATACAATAATAATAAATAATGGACGATTAAGACAAGATGATTAACAAGAGCAGATAACAAACATCCAAGGCAAAAAATATCTATAGTTTAACAGGCCAAGAACTCAAATTCAATGCGGCAGACAATTTTTTTGAAGCAGGTGTTTGTTCTTTCTTCTTGTCAGCAAAGTGATGTTATCAACTTTTAAAAATCTTATATTATTTGATTTAATTATCAATAAACGTTAAAATATTTGAATACTAGTATAATGTTTTTAGTACAATATTAAATTATTTTAAAAATGTATATTGGTTGTTTAATAAAGGCTTTGCTGTCAAAAGCATGCGTTAAATGGGGAATAACTCAATTTCTTTTTCAAACTTGAGGAAAAAAATGAGTTAGTCACCATATCAAGATGATAATAGAATTGATCAATGCAGCAGTGTTTGTCCTCATGCGGTGGTGTCTGAAATCTAAAGATAATTTTTTGGTCTTAATTGAATTAATTTTGAAATAAAAGATTTAAATTTCTATAAGATATGTTTATACCTGTCTGAAGCTTTTAAACAAATTTGTCTGACACCGGCTTGACCAGCAAAGAACTCTACTTGTGCAACCTTGGTGTCTATAGTTCCGTTGATCATTTCTCTGCTATACTGAATGGTAACATTTTCTTTACTTTCTGGTGTGCTAACAATACTCGTTATTCCTCTGTATAATAAAATGTTATATTCACAGAATAATAGCAGCAAGGATCAGAGAATTCAAACAGGAAGTTTTGATAATGTTTTTTCTTTAACTGAAAATTCATTATAATAATAATGATAAAAATTCCCAGCAAATAAAATGAAGAAAAAATACACTATGTTTTGAACTATGATAACACACTTTTACTTAATACAAAAGAAAATTAAAGGTTTTGAATACTGTAGTTTCAATCATTTGTAGAAGAATACCAATTTTTGATTGATTCATTGGTTGAGCTAAACTACGATAAATAAATTACAAATTAACTGATGATAAATAACACAAAAGCTGTTCATGAATTTCATTATCAATGAAATTGTATTTTTGCCATAACAACAAAATTTGATCGCGAACATCAATGAAACCACAGTAAATTCAAATAAAATTTGTGAAAGTTACTCGACATTCGGGATAGAACATACTGCGAAATTTCTTGCGGTTTAAGATACAAATTATCATAATATTAAGGCTAAAATTTTCCCTTCAATATTTAGAATGGTGTATACTTAGAATCAGATGTTTTGGCATAAACTGGAAATCTGCAGAATGTGTTTGTTTTGCAATTCAGATCGGTAGGTTCCGGGAATGAAACGAAGTAAGGCTTTCCCTGAAAGAGTTATGCATACTACATGTATTAACTCAGAATCATAGGTAATTATAGCTCATTTTGTGTAAAGACTTGTCTACAGATTTTTCTGTTTGCCTGATCATGACAAGGAGCACACTGCAGGTGTGACGGGTCGGCAAAGGATGGTAAATCAGAAAAAAAGACAATCGGCACTTATTTCTCACTATAGATCTAAATGGTTACATTCATCTGGAGTTTTTTTTTAAATACAAATTTAAAAAATCAACATACAAAACCGAAAATAAAATAATAACATAAATTGTTAGCGTTACTAGATTCAGACCGAAATGTATATTCACACCTCAGTGCATACTAGAAAACAATTAATTTTGGGTAAATCAGCTACAGTGACTGACTATTTCACCATTTACATAAAACAAATTCGCATGTAAATTGTTGTGAATTAAAAATATATTTGAAGAATTTAAAATATTTGAAGAAAGATATAAATTGTTCATCTAAGGTACACTATCTGTTTCGTAAATATGTCATTGCATTCAATATGTTAAAAATAAATAAATTAATTAAAAAATTTAAAAAACCCACGAATTTTATTTAGAGAAAAACTGTTAGATTAAATTCAAAGAACTAAGTACGTTACGTTTTATTCGAAGGCCCACAATTTTTCGTATTTTCAAATACACGTTTGCAAAAATATAACTGCTATGTACATGTAGAAGAAGATTGGTAGTTTTGATATATGCATAACAAAATTTCACAAGTACATTGATTAGAGGTATTCACAGGATTTAATCATCCGTTCTTTCCGGAAATTGCTATTTTTCCCACTATTTTTACAACAAATTCCCAAAATTGAAGTAGTGCACATACCTCGAGCAAAATAAAACATATATATTTGAAAATAATTTGATAAAAGACAAGCAAAAATAATGTTAAGAATTTGCTCGAGGAATGTGCAGTATGTTAATTTTGACATTTCATGACTATTTCCGGTGTCGGATACCAAGTTAGTCGAGAGGCGAATTCTTATCTAGGAGTAATAATAATGGTGCATTTCGTGTAATAATGTTACAAAATAAATTTATTATTGATTGACCATATTTATATTGCTCATACAAATATATTTGTCATGAAAATAGCATAAAAACTAAAAAAATGTTTTATAGAAATGGCATATTATTTTATACAAGTAAGCCTTACACTTTATAATGTTGCCAGCAAGAAGGGAAGAGATCAATTTAATAAACTAAAGCAATAAAATAAAAATGTTCAGCTGACTAATGAAATCACATAAAGTATTATTGCAGAAAAGAAAATGCTTTAAAAATCCGAGCCTTTATTTCATTTTGCTACTGAAACGGCCTAGTTGACGTCTGCATGTATGTTAAGAGCCATTCTCTGTAATGACTTGAACTTTTATATAGGAGCTGTGGCACGCATAGTCTCAGAATTTCTCCAAACTCTCTATGATAAAAGTCTTTGATACCGTAAACTCAAATCAGGCAAAAATTGGTTGCTACGTGTCATGGTTACCATAGCAACATGTCCTAACGTTTGAAAAATGGCATTTTTCAACATGTTCAGAGTCCCCCAGTTAACGTTTGCAGCAAAGCAAACAAGTGGCAATGACTGTTTCTGTTAGTTGAAGGCCTGATGTCTTAAATGCATGATAAACATGTTTGGTAAATCAACTATTACATACGTTACTATGGAAACAAAGTATTCAAAAGTAATAATTTTGTTCATTTAATTTTATAAAGTCATATACTTAAGAATAAAAACAATTATAGGTTGAAATGCAAGCAAATAATAGACAAGAGGTCCTTGTAACATATACCAAGGACGAAATATGATATTTCTTATAGGTTGGCAACGGTTGCTATGGTTTATTTACCTCGAAAGGATTTTAAATTTACTCTCTTAGTGTTTTAATCTTATCCTATCTTTTTAAAAAGCATATTTCTATATAACTGATGATCAATTTTTAAAGGCATTGGTGTTACCCTAATTTTCACATTTCAAAAAATTCAAACTCAATTCTTTAAATAGAGCGTTGCTATGTAAATTAGCCGGAAAAATATGCATAAAAATCTAAAAAATATTCCGTTTCCTTGGATACGCACCCTTGTAAGTAGATTCCCAAAACTTTTATGATTGATATATATGAACAACTAACCTGACTTTGAATTTTGACTACCACCCAATCTCTAACTGGATGCAAAAAGCTGGCACATAGGGTTTAATATTGATATAAAATTAACAAAATTGAACATTTTCCCTTCTTGGTAACCATAGCAACAGTGTTGTATTTTTCAACAAACTTTATCAATATATGATATTCAACTTTAGTTCTACCAGTTAAGTAGTATTCAAGGTGAATCAAATAATATGTTTCTTGATTAAAAGGTAAGTAAATTCCTAAAGGAGCAAAAAATATCACTTTAAACGACTGATACGTTGTTTCCATGGTTACAATGCAAAGTAACATTTAATCCCAATTTTTCTTATGTTGTCGGTGTTGCAAGGTTCCAAGGATGCATATGTGTTAGTCGTGAATTTTATTGTTTTTCCTCAAGATAGTAGCATTAACCCAATCATTGCAACAGATTTTGCATGGTTACGCTGTGTTACCATGGCAACCATGAAAGTTATTTTTAGAATAATATTGCCAATACCTAATTACATAAGGTCAAATATTTTTTATTGTTTTTCTTAGGTTGTTGATTGAGTTTGATCATGTAACATCTATCACTGGTGAATATTGAGCGTTTTTCAGCATTTTTCAGCTTCTAAAATGTATTCCAAATGTACCCATGGTTACCATTTACTAAGAGATAAATTCTAAATAGTTTCTTTATAGCATAAGTGGCAACAAGGTGTCACGTTTTTGGGAGAATGGTTTGTTTGTTTTTCTTAGTCTTTATTAAGGCGTAATAAAGATTCAAAGAAGCTGAAAATCTCAATTTTTTCAACTTTTCTGGCTGTTACCATGGCAACCAAGACACATAGCAACGAAATTTTATTTAATATATGTTTCTGGTGTCAAGTTGTAATAATGGGCAAAGTTTCATCAAAATCGGTGACCATGCGTGGCAAAGAAGTTTAAGTGGTTACAGAGAATCGCTATTAATAAATTACGCAATAAACTCAAAGATGACGTCACAATAGGTCCCCTTGCAACACATTATTTTTTGGAAAGGAGGGGGGATAAATTCTTAATCTTTTGGATGCCGTTGGTCAGGACTGATCAGATTAATTAATATTCTGAAGTCTTGTATTTTCAGTCATTTATACACGTGCACGGTTGATGTTTGAATATATTTTCAGATTTTACAATTCGACGCACAATATAAGCGTGTTGCATCTGCATAAGTTTATATTGTAGACATTGCTGTTAATATTATGCATATAAAAACAAAGACTCATATTTCACCTAGTAAAATTTTTTACCCGTATATTCTACTTAAGACCATTCCACATATAACAGTGTTGTGATTTCTTATCTGTCGAGAATCCAGTGAAGTTGAAAGAAGACTAGAATGAGAAAGCGACAGAAAGGTCCAAAAAAGAATTTCGGAAAAAAAAAATTAATTAAAAAGCTGTGTCGGATGAGGGGTTCTTTTTTCAGCAAGGTTACCTGTCACTAAATTCTTTCACCCCATTACGACGGTGTATGTGTACCACACAATTTAATATAAGTACTGTGGAACAAAATTATCTGTCTGAAAACAAGTTATTTATCAGGCACGAAGAATCAAGGACGCAGGGCCCCTTCCCACTTTTTACCAAACTTTGAAAATGTTCATTGAAAGACTGCCCCCTCCCTCCTCTGTTTGCTGTAGCGTAGGTAAAGTTTAGGAATTTAGTGTATTGGGGGAAAAATTGGTTGTGAGAAAAAAAGTTTGAACCTACCGTGAGACGGGGCCTCGGTTTTTAAGATCTCATCCGAAAGACCGGCAACTTTCACTTCAAAGTGCCGAGCGCTAGAACAGTTGCTACCTATTTTTTATCGACTTACGTCGGTCGCGACCGAGATTCGAACTCACGACCTCCCGATCACGGAGCGAGCGCTCTACCTGAAATGGATTGAAAAGCAGGCATAGATGCCTATGAACTTTTCTCCATAGGTTTGGTATCGAAGGCTTACAATTCTTACTTAAAGATAGGCTCTCATATTGAGCAAAACTTCAAGCAACAAAGTCAAAACTTCAAGCAACAGTATTTATCTATAATTATATGTACGTATTTAAAAATAGATCGTAAAAGTGTTCTTCAAAGAAAGTAAATGTTTATACATGTTTATTTTTATTTTATTTTTTTTTTTAAATTTATTTAATTTATTTTTCATTATTATTATTATTATTATTTTTTGGAAAAGCTATACTACATGTAAGTCGGTGAAAAAAGCCTCAATAAGTTGCTAGAGGAAATGCGTTAGAAAGTTGCCAATGCCAACTATCCAAGAGAAGTGCTGCATCTCTACCAGCTTTTGAAGGGGGGGGGGGGGAGGGGTGATACTTGACTCGTGCATTTGAGAAGCATCATCCGGTGACACATAATATTATTAATCGAATGACAGTACTTTTTCAGGGTTTTTTTTTTTTTTTTTTTTTTTTAAACTTTTTCAGTCGACAAGACAGAAACGTTTTGAACACATTTTGTTTAGATAAATTCGAGAGTGACGCCGTGACTCGTTGGAAAGGATAGACTTGGGAATTTGCCTTATCAATGTTATCTATTTATTACAATTTCAAATAATTTTCGAAAATATCTTGAATGCTTTCTCATAAAATTTTATAGGGAATCTAACATTCTATAAAAAAAGTGTTAGAAGTTTTAATGCAATCTTAAAAGCAAACCAAGTAATTCGCAAAAAAAAAAAAAAAAAAAAAAAAAAAAAACAGTGTAGTTTTTTAAAAAAAAATCAAACACTTTATGAATTAGAATAATCGGATACTTATAATAAACGTACTATTAAATATGCCTTACGCATCTCTCTCTCTCTCTCTCTTGTTTTAAAATCATCTAAATTAATCTTGTCATATTTACGTATATTGTTGGACCCAAAAACCAAACTGTTTGTCTGAGGCCTTTATTTAACCGATCGATGGGTCGACAAAACGCATTTTGGCCGAGAACATGGTCAATAAATGTTTTGTTATACTTTTGTATCTTGTGCTGGCTTCCATGATGTAAAGGATGACTGCACTTAAGGACATGCGAAAATTGCGACAAAATAAACTTTCAAACAAGCATTTTTCTTTTAATTGCAGGAATGGTCAACATGTAATCTACAACTTTACGTTATTACATTAAATAAAAGTATGCACTTACGAAGTACGAAGCTGTTTTCAAAGGTGGGGGTCATCACAATATCTTGAAACTCCGTACGATAATGAGGACGCCCACTTTTTCACTGACTTTGTACATACACTTAGTCAGCGCATGTTTGTTTATTGTTCTCCGTTTAACCAGTAGTTGTTTATTTGCATTAATAATGTTGTGTCAAAAGGAGATTAATAGACAAACATGCGCTCATGGTTTAAAAGAGAAAAAACTGCTTCTTCTTAAATTCGCTCTCACTGTTGTAACCAAGGGCTACGGCATGTTGAATATTATAATTCACCACGTGATGTCATACCTTAGGTAACATTCCGTCACGTGACTTGCAAGATAGCATGTTTTGTGCTAACTAGGACACTCTTCTCGAACACGTTGAATTGTCAGGCATCGATTCAAAATATTCTTTACTTACATGTACGTGCTCATGTTGTTGATTTCGTTTTGAAACCTTTGTAAATACTACAGTAGTGTACTTGTGCCATAAAGGATAAAGAGAGAGATGGGAAAGAGTGATCACGTATTTTAACACATGTCATTGTTATTTATCTAGTCTAATTTTAGAGACATTTTTACACTGTTAGCTCCACCTCTCATGCATACGTAATGTTTAATCAAGGGCAGGTAAGTGTAAAATCTCTATATTTGGAAAGGAGTAGGGACAAAAAACATAGAATTATTCGATTGTATTACAGTCTAAAATCATTTTAACATTTGAATTTTGTGCCAAATTGATAGAATTAAATAGTAAATATACAAAAGTGAAATAAGGTTAAGATATAAAGGCAGCAGAAGCGACGGAAAAAGACTCAAATCCCCGTGTTAAGTGCAGTTATCCTTTACTTAAACCACACTGCTGTTAAAATTGGTCAATTTCGTCACTATCGAACACCAATGAATGCAAATGAGATTTAGCTGAACTCGCCCACAATTTCGACGAAAGCGGTCCAATTTCTCATCGACAGGTCAAATATCTTACTCCGCGGCCAAACATCGATTTTTTTATGACCGCTCAGTACAACATTAGGAATGTGTATAGATTTATATAAAACCAATTTTTAAAGGTATAACAAATTTTTATCTTGTACTCTGGAAATCTTCAGAATAAACTCTGAAAATATTGTAGGGAGCAAATGTCAAAAGCGATTTCTGCATACATGTATGTGTATAAATGATAGAGGATGTATTCGAATGATTAAAAATCTATACCAGACAAGGGCGGTCTGTGAGAAAATGGATTATCTGTAAAAATCTGAACAAAAACTTTGAGTTGGTAAAGTCATTGAAAGAGAAGGGCGCTTCACAGTTGCTGATCTTGTAAATGCACAGTTACGCGGTAAAATAATAATTAAAAAAAAAAAAAGCATGGACAAACAAAATTATGCTACTAGTACGATTGTTAGCAAAATAAATTAACTTTTTAATAAGTGGCTATTGGAGCAAACTGTGTGAAATGTAAAGGGAGAATTTTTTTAAAACACCATGACGCAATGTTTTTTGACGTTATAATGTAGCTCCGGGGTTACCAAACATGTTGATTTAAAACTAAGTCAATTAATTTCTGTTAAATCGAATGGAATGAAACTTCACATATCAACAAAATAAAAATTTTTATATAAGAAAATGTGTTCTTTTCAATATTTCTTGAAAGTAATATAACAAACTTTCCAACAACTCTTGTATTTACGTAGCGTCGCTAGGTTGACGTCATAACGTCATAGTGTTATTTTCCAAAGAAACTATCTATATTCAATTAGCTTTGTAGGAAAATTGATTTGAGATAATTACAAAAATTAAGTTGAATTAAAAAGAGGACATCTTAGACATGTTTCAAAAAAATCTTCATCAGATTTGGGGAAAGGGCCGATTTTGGTACTTAACGTACTTTCTTCTTTAATTTGTGTTTACAGTCGCCGGATTTTACTCGTGTTTATATAGAATTACACGAACTGACGGTATCATTAATAAGATGTTGAGTCAAGTCTTATGATACTGGTTTCGAAAATATCCATCATTATGATCATGAATAGAGCATAAAACACGGACCCCCATAAATTCCCGAGGTGGGATCAGGTGCCTAAGAGAATCAAGCATCCCCGCCTTATTTATTAATTAGGTAGACGGAATATACCGTAGTCAAATTTGGTATGAAAACAAAGGCCTTAGAATTTGGTATGGAATATGTCAGTCAAAATACACCCAATGATAAGTTATAACAAACATACCAGCATATGTATAATCAATGTAAATAGCATTCAACACAAGAATTCTGAGAGTATCGCATAAGCAATACTAGTCTCCTACCGGTAAGTGTAATTTGGCTCTCCTAGAAGATTAAAAAGGCCATAATTCCATAAAATATCATTAAAACAGAACGAAGTGAAAAGTTGATCTATAACTTATTAAGGTAGACTCACATACCAAAAATCAGCGCAATAGCTGCAAGCATTCAGGGTAAAAGTGCGGAAAACCAAGTGGTAAATCTGGTTCCCCTTAAAAATTTTAAAAGGCCATAATTCCGTCAAAAATCATCGAAGCGAAACGAATTGTAAACTTAATCTGTAACTCCTCAAGGTACACTCACTTAACAGAAATCAACTCAACATCTGCAAGCGTGTAGAAAAATTTTAAAGTGCATAAAACCAAGTGGGACATACAGACAGAGAGACAGACCAGGAGGAAACCTATAGTCTCCGGTGGTTTCACCGGTATGGGACTAATGATTGAGTAATGATATTTACATGTATATATTTATTTATTGAAACTACAGATTATCCCGGTCGAATGACATACGAACCTAATTAATCCCCGTTCACATGCACCTATTTACACACGATGAGCAATTTTTACATGTATATGCAAATTTTGCCCATGCATATATTTTGGCGCATGTATTGTGTGTGTGGCGGGGGGGGGGGGGGGGGGGGGCAAGCAAGATTTGCACGTGAATATTTTATACCGATTTATAAAAAGTTTGAGAGTGCATGTGAACGCATTGCAAAAATTACATTTAGACACCAAGAGTAAAAATTTTCAAATATGCCAAATTTACACCTGTGAATTAATGAGCGCATGTAAACAGGCATATTAGCTTTATACTATTTTCACTAAAGTTAGTTGGAAACAACTTACTATGATTTCTGGTTGTAGTCGAATTATATTTGCTGGAATGAAAATCATAAGAATTAATTTTTCATTCTAAAAGATATTAAATTACAGACACTAATTAACTTTTACTAACTATCTAAGAAGATATTTACTTTCTTCCATTATTTTAATACCTATCCCATTATTCCACTAATAAACTAAAATGTCGGGATGTATATGTAGATGTACAACACACATACCCTTACCCCACAAAAAATTCTTATAAGTTCAAGTTTGGTTCGTTTTACTATTGAAACCTTTTGATTTTAGTTTATTTTGACGTGTTCTATAATTGATAAACACTTTTTTGGGGGGGGGGGGGGTGTTAACTCGGCGCTTTTTGTGAGTGAATTCCTTTGTGTCAGCTCTGCTGACGTAGATTCCCTAAAAGAATATTCATTTTTTAAATGAATTACTTCAAAACAGTATGTACAATGTGAACAAAACTGTACCTTGTATTTTGGACTTAACTCCCTGGCAATGTTCATGATAAGATTATTTCAACCAATTAAACAATAAGATCCTTCATTTTCAGTAAAGTTATTGATTTTAGTCGATTCATTCAATTGACTTTTTAAAGGTGCTTAGACACAGATTTGAACTTAATGTTTTCTCAAATTCTCTGTATATTATCACGCCTTATATATTGCAATATAGCATTTCACACGAAAATATAATTAAAAACTTATTAATCTGGAAATTATTGGAACTACGAATTCCGGGACGCGTTTGGTTAACACATCTTTGCACTTACACGAATTTTAACTTTATCCTTAATATTTAAGAAAAGAAGCGATTTTGTTCTGTATCAATGAAAAATCTTACATCTATAATCCAGAAAATTCAGAGTAGAAATGTTCGAAAGCAAAACCGATTCACCACGTATTGTCAGTCCGTGCTCTGTGATGTGTACACAGTTTAACAAATTGAACATACCCGTGAAACGTTAACTGTTTTTGCAAACATGGCACGAGCTCTGTTATTGTTAATGTTTACGATTCACCGGGTGTGTTCAATTGTTAAACTCTGCACACAGCACTGAGCACGGACTTACAATACTGTGAGTGGGTTTTGCTTCCGAACATTTCTACTCTGAATTTTCTGGGTTATAGTTTTAATATTTTTCATTAATACACAACAAAATTGCCACTTTTCTTAAGTATTAAGAATAAAATTAAAATTTGTGAAAGTGCAAGGATGTGTCTATCCAACGCGTCCAGAAATTCGAAGTTTTAATAACTGCGAGATGAAATAAGATTTTTATTACATTTTAGTATGAAATGCTATAGCAACATATAAGTCATGAAATTATACAGAAAATTTGAGAATATATAAACTTCAAATCTGAGTCCAAGCACCTATAAAGCAAAACCAAGTTTTTAGTGCTGTACAAAGACCGAAACAATTTTGAAGAGTTTAAACTGAAAAAGATATGGATCCACTTAGTCATAATAAATAATAGTCATAGAATGATGTTTTCAATAGTTTTGGGGAAAAACCGACAAAACCGGATATTGTATCTTTAAAAATGATTTTGTCCTCAGACAGTGGATGCAAAAAATAATCCTGAGAATTTTGAATTTAAGCTGAACATAGAAAATAAAAAAAATAATTTTAATAACATCAACGTTTACAACCATATATATATATATATATATATATATATATATATATATATATATATATATATATATATATATATATATATATATATATATATATATATATTTTACAAACCTTTGACTATGATGTGGAAACAATGTAAGTCTACAGTCATTATCCTGTTAAAAAGTAGAACAGCATTTTCACTTCTAACATGATATAATGCTATAATTTATAATTCTCGGAAGCGTTAAAAAAACCCATAAGTTTTCCATCCTTATTATATTAATTAATCCTTACCATGACTGTTCACTTCTTAAGTTTAGTTTTACCGACAAAGATAAATAAAACGTTTGGTCGAAAGCTAATTTTCCTGCATTTTCAACAATGAGCAATGACATTAAAATATAATATACTGAAATGCAAAAGAAACGCAACAAGCAGCTGCAGTAATCTACAAATATTTGAATTTTTTATCTAATGATTTTCAAAAAAATGAATACAGTAAGGTAAAACTCGATTAATAAATATCAGAGATTTTATAAAAATGTTAAGTTATGATCTTTTAACTTTAGAAAGTTACACATGAATGTTAAAACACCCCCACCCCCCACCCCGGCCATTCAATTACAGCGTGCAAGACTGCCATTTACAACAGTTGCAGCTTGATTTCTACGATGCAGTAGGTTCATCAATCTCGAGATCTGAGAGAAAGAAATATTCTTTGCCATTTTACATGCCTGTTTTTCAGATGATGAAGTCGAATTTTCTCTAGCCAGGCGCAGTGTAGTACCCTTGGACTTCCGGTCCAAGGACTGTCATTCATGCTATGATACGTAAGAGCCTGTTGAGGCGTGATGTGTTGCATATTTGCATCTGCAACTCCCCATCACCTTTATTTTGAGATTTTCCAGCTAAAGCAATGGAAATGCGTACTTAAGTCATTTTTAGGAAGCTTTTGCATCGCTTACGGAAAAGAAAGAAGAATTTATTTTTCGTAACATTGTTTCATTACTTATGATGAAAAGATACAAATTCTTAAAACCCCATATTATTGCCAAATATTTTGTTAAACATGCAATTTTTGATTTCTGTTAAGCGGACTCAAACTCAACTTCCGGTAATGGTATGAAAATCATTCAACCGATAAATTACCGATATTTTCAAAGTTGAAGATGTCCTTACTTTTTAGATACAAAATTATATCCTTATATATAATATTTCCCCCTAAAATAAGATGTTGCATTTCTTTTGCGTTTCAGTATATATATGTAGAATTGACAATAATAGATTCAAAATCATACCTATCAATTTTAAAATTCTTATTTTCTTATGATTTTGATGGATTTTACACAGATTGACAATATTATACATTACCCTTGATCATCCTCAGCATTTGCACACAGTATATGATATCCTATGTCTTCTACCGTCGGCGACCAACTCGTTGATATCAGCACTGCTTCAGTATTGACGTTAGAAGCATCCTGAATTCCTGTATGATTGACAGGTTTCCCATCTCGTCGAAGAAAATCAAAACGTACTATTTTCCTGAAAAGAATTTTTATCCTGTCAAATATTTCTATAATTTTAAACATTGCAGAGATTGCAAAGCGTCAGTAGTTGAAAAAGTGAAAATAATACTTCGACATGGTGGGAATGTTGACAAACACAATACAATTCTCAGAGTTTATCAATATTTAGTTATTATATAATATAATTACTGATCAAGATAACTTTTGAACTCAACACATTTTTTAAAATTAATCAATGTACATTTTGGAAATAAATATATTGCTACCAAGTAAAGGCATAAAGAAGGATATGATGCGTTTTTGCAATTTACTAAAGTTTTCATATTCATGATTGATATTTTAGCTTATAGTATTTAGTTGTCCCCCCCCCCCCCATTTGTTTGAGTAACAGCCTAAATGCAAGTTAGCAGCCTACGAAATCTTTCCACAGAATATCATATGTACCGAGTACCATTCCCGCTAAAGATTCTTCGAATTTCTTTAGATTGAATTTCAGTGCGATTACTTTCTGAGTGGGTTTATAGAAAAAAATGTGTTGTCTTTGAGAAACCCTCTTTGCCTATTTAGAAGATATTGAAAGATGATAGAACAACGTGTGCTTGTTTACTATTCCCCATAAAACAATATATGTATGCATGTATAATGAAGCAGTTTGCCATAACTCAGAAAACACAAAGAAGTTTATCAAATGAAATGTAGTTTCTAGACTTTTGTTGTCCTGGGACAGTCTTTATTCAAACCCAAATAAAAACTTTGGGGTCAAATAAAGAAGACCTGACATTTCTCAAAACGCCAACAACTTACATATTAAAAGATAGGTAGAAAGCACTCAAGAATTCTGAATTTCAGAAAAAAAGGTCCAGTAAAACTTAATTAATAACATAATTGCATTGAGGTTGTTAATCAGGTATAAAGGGGAGCAAGTAAATTCTACAAAGTTAATTATCAACTATAAATATATTTATATTAATGCAATAAGTATTTTGATAGCCCAATTGCCCATTAAATTGCTTATTTCTTTCCATAATCCTCTCATCACTAGAGCACCATATCTTATCCTCCTTCAATGAATAAAAAGTCTGTAAAACAGTCTGTCGTGTGTTGCCACCTTTGTGACGTTTAATAATTTGCTTGAAATTCTCAAAAGTATTATTAACAATGGCATATAATTTTAGCTGACACAAAATATAAATATGAGAAATAAACTAATTTTGTAAAGGGAGATAATCCAAATTTCCAGTAATTACAACTTAGACTTAACAGAAAAATCATGAAAATGGGTCTGAAAATGCTTAAAATATAAAATTACAACCAAAATTTTGGCGGAGGCGGGGTGGAAGGAGGTAAATAACAAACTTGAAAAAACGTCCGTCCTCCAAGGCTGTAGGTGGGAGAAGAGGCAGAGTGACGCACCGCGTGGCCGAAATGTTAAATGTTTGATTTTGATTGGTCAATCTCTGCCTCTCCTAAGACATGAAACAAAATAACCATTATAATACATCACGATACAATATATCAGACTTGAACATTCAAGGAGGACACTTATTGATTACAATAAAAAATTTTAAGTAAACTTAAATTTATTTATATTAATGCAATAAGTATTTTGATAGCCCAATTGCCCATTAAATTGCTTATTTCTTTCCATAATCCTCTCATCACTAGAGCACCATATCTTATCCTCCTTCAATGAATAAAAAGTCTGTAAAACAGTCTGTCGTGTGTTGCCACCTTTGTGACGTTTAATAATTTGCTTGAAATTCTCAAAAGTATTATTAACAATGGCATATAATTTTAGCTGACACAAAATATAAATATGAGAAATAAACTAATTTTGTAAAGGGAGATAATCCAAATTTCCAGTAATTACAACTTAGACTTAACAGAAAAATCATGAAAATGGGTCTGAAAACGCCACTGACTTGACCGCACTAGGGAAAGATCAGACCCACTGAAGACATGAAACAAAATAACCATTATAATACATCACGATACAATATATCAGACTTGAACATTCAAGGAGGACACTTATTGATTACAATAAAAAATTTTAAGTAAACTTAAATTTATTTTACCTTTGTTTATTAACAATATTTTTATTTCCAAAATTGAAATTTTATTTAGAGTTCACAAAAGTCTGTGAGGTTTGAAATTTTTTGAGCTAGCTTAAACAAGAATCACTGAAATAATTGTAGTTCCATATATATAATATAGAATTAACGATTCAGTTGTAAAATGTGACATATTGAGACTGTTTCTATGATAATTGTTGAGTAGTATCTGTTTTTCCCACATCGCAATTGATTAAAACATACTATAGTGACAAAGCCAAAAAAAATGTCTTCTTTAATTTTTCAAAGATTTCAATTTTAAGCATACAATGTTATAAAGTTAAAACAACTTCTTTTAGATTATCACAAAACAAAATTTGAATTGAAATAGAAAACATAAATGTTAGGCACACGTTAAATATACACAGTATATTCAGCGTATTTGTAAAGTAACAGAAGGGAACTGTCTGACTTGTCAGCATTGATCGTTGTAAATTATCATTTTCATTTTTAATGACACAGAGGTTATTCCTGTTAAATTATTAAAACTCTTCACCTTTTTATAGGTAATCAATGTAGGTTTTTTTCAACAATTTCTGTAGATCAGTATCAATTTTAAAAGCATACCTTCCATGCGTAGCTTTAGCATACACCTTGACATGAAAATCCCCTCCTACATAAATATTATATTCCTGGTTATTTGCTGGTGTGGGTGGTATGAATTCGGGTGGGTCAGTTTTTCCGGTAATTCTAAAGTACATCTAAAACATATCGAAAATATTTGATTTTTGTAAAATTTGTTTTCATATTCGTTTGACATCTTTTGGCAACAATCAAAACTTTCTTATTTTGTCATACCTACCATGACCACAATTCTTCCAATAACAATTTGGTATGGGTATTGTGATCTCCTTGTATCTGTTTGAATCCAAATCGGATTTGTGTTATAATCCTTAACTGTTACTGCAGCACCAAATGTATCCCCAATATGAAAGTAACCTGTACTGACATCGATTTCCATTGAACAATTCTGGAAAAAATGAAGATGAGTAAAACAACAAAAATAATTAACGTAATTAAAGATACTAGGCAAACACGTAAAAATTATGTTGCTACTTGTAACACTTGCTCTTGAAATACGGGACTTATTCTATGTGGACTAAACTTTAAATTCTCTACCATTTATGAAATGGAAATGTGAACAAAAAGACCTATATTTATAAAAATGGTATCACATTAAGAAAAGCATTGCAAGTTTTACTTTATATACACATGTATGTACATGTTCTTCATATTTTTGGTTTATATATATATATATATATATATATATATATATATATATATATATATATATATATATATATATATATGACTGCCGTCATGAGAAAAGGGCGCTTATCTTTTGACGTCACAATGCTCAGAAAACGACGTCAAAGTCGCAGTGTTGTGAACACGGAAGTAATTTTTGTCGACAGTGTTTCGTGAACAAGAAATAAAATTGGATTTCCAGGTGAAATGAAAAAAAAAAATGAAAATTGATGCTGAAATTTGTAATAAATAATATTATTACTATTAAGTACATGTATTTATTCATAATTCTGTATATTATTAAGCATTTTACTTGATATCGCATAATTAATCTAAACGCGACATTGAACACATTGTTCAATACAGCGATTTATAGCGATGTCTATGTACTATGCATGGCTCAAAATACTGTTTATTTGTTTTCTGAGCAATTTTCAAATACATAAATTTGACTCATGTGAATTAGACTTATTATTAAAAGGTATTCTACATGCACGTAAATATTTTTGTCCAGAGAGAGAGAAAGAGAGATCAATGCACATATACGCGTACTTTATTAGTGCTTCTTAAGAAAATTAATTAAAAAAAAAAATTAATTAATCGACGAATAAAAAGACAACCGGTAAAAGTTCAAACTAAAAAAAGAAAACATCTTGTTTTGGATATAGATACTTGTAACATGGGAGATTCGAACCTTCATGAACTACAAAAAATGAAAAGAGGTGGATTGTATAAATGTTATATAAAAAAATCTATACAAAATTAACAACAAAAGAATATGCTTAGGAAAAAAAAATGGAGAAAACGGTGCCACGAAAATTTTGCTAAAATATAATTAAAAAAAAAATAATGAAATGATCAAATAAATGTATAAAAAAAAAGTACTCTCTGATAACAATTACTTTATCAATTTCCTTAAATTATTCCGATGAAAGTTGGCTTGAAGTTAAATTGCGCTTGATTTAGGAATTTTATCAAAATACATTTAATGTGGGCTTTTCCATGAGCGTTATACTCAACGTTGAAGAAAATAATAATTATATCGAACGTGACATTATGCGTGAAAATATGTATAAAACAGAAGAAGAAAAAACAGATTGAACGATAAATTACGAAACTACGAACTTCTGGTAAATGTTGATATGGCGACATCTTTTGAGTATAAATCACTGATAGAGGAAAAAAGTACTACTAACAAGTGGTTATGAATGTCATATTATAATGTAATAAAAATGTTCTGATCATCAACGACATTAACACCAACTGTAAGACAACAAAGACAATCAAAACATCTACATTTTGAGAAAGATGGAAAAGAAAGCAATGGTGATGTTTCGAGCGACAAAAAAAAAAAAAAAAAAAAGAAGGCTCATGTAACATTTTGATGACCGGGAAATATGAAAGGAAGCATTTTTTTTTTTACTGACTATTGAAATCATGTATATAATGAACTACTCACGTTTCGCGTTTAAATCTTGGACGTCAAGTCTCATCTCGATAACCCGGATATCTCGAATTTTTCTGAAAGTTCCGTTGATGCCGGTATACTATTAGTTATCCAGGTTCAATCAAGGGTGTACGGGGATTTACCCCGGGTTTTATTCCATGGACCATGAGGCCGAAGTTTATAACTGTACCTGACTTTAAGGGAATGATTAAACAAATACACATACCTTTCTGCTTTTAATAAAAAAAAAATATAATTTTGAAAAAAAAAACCAAAAAAAAAAAAAAACCTTTGATGTCTGGTTAGCCGATGTCACGGATTAAGATGAATAGATCAGCTTTACTGCGTAAAAATATATTTAAGTTTTGAGAGATATTCAGTTTTAATTTCAAATAGATTTCGTCAAAATTGTAAAGCAACTATATTTTATTTTGCCTAGAAAAATCCAACTCCGTTAAGTGTACATATATTAAAAAGAGTCAAGAGCAGTACAACCCTCTCTTTTATCAAACTATACAATGTTATTTTTTACAGAACTTTCCGTAAATCTGAGTTGGAAACCAGACAATCGTTTACACATGCATCGTGAGTGATTATTATCTGACGAGATTTTATCAATTCCAAAAATCCAGAGAGGTTATTTTTTCAGATCGAGCGCAATGTTGAGCAGTGATACCTGAAAAAGTTTACAAAGTGAAAAATATCAATAGTTTTGCTAACCTGTTCAACAGTGATGATATATTTACCTTAATTGGCTTGGCTAAATTTTGTAAGATTGTAATGTCTTTATTTCACTCTTGAAATTCCTTCCAATACCTCTAAATTAATATTGTATATATATTAATCCTTTGTTCATTTGTTACCTTTTCATTGTTGATTTATTTTTTTTTGTACTGTTATGCCTCATGTGAGGCCATAAAGTGAATATAATGTTTCAAATGTTTCAAATGATAAGCTTAAAATATGACACGTGTCTGCCAGCTATCTTTGCATGTCCAGCAGGTGATACTGAGTGATTAGTATCTGGCAATATGATAGCGAATTTCCAAATCGTATCGACATTGAATCATTACATAAGCGACCCTTATAAGAAAAGATGAACGATTGATGTGTCCAAGCGATACAGTAGTAGCGTCGAAAGCAAGCATAGGTGCAAAGCCCCCCCCCCCCCCCCCAAAAAAAAAAAAAAAAAAAAACAACAAAAAACTAAAAACAAAGCATTTACAACCGCTTTTTTATTAAGCATGATTTACTTTAAAAACTTTAAAGAAGTTGACAAATATATTTATAAAAGTTACGGGAAAACACGTGTGTTTGTTATGTATGCAGAGAAGGTTTATCGGTATAGAAGATCAACTAAGTTCATTTTGTTTACGGGTGAATAGGTTTAATCCGTGCTACGCATGATTCAGTCACGTATAAGGTAGATTTTCGGGTGTTTAAAGTCATTCGAAGATCACTGCTACATTGCAACGGACTAATCACTGCTTAGGTCGACTACAAATTGTTTAGCTGAATATAGAAATCAGTCCATACTAGACGAGCCTAGCTTCTACTCATGCAGTAATGCAGAAAAAGTTGCTGATTATGTACAAACAAACAGGGCCGAGGTTTTTCTTTTTTATTCAAATTTAACTTTAAAAGTCGGTTAACATCACATTGATATAGTGTGTGTCGAAGGGGAGGGGGGGGGGGATGCCTCCTTATATTAAACCAAAAATATTTTTTATATATCGGGATCGATGTGCTGATGTCCCGCGTTACGCGCGTTGCCCTTCCTTGGGTTGAATCTATCCTTTCTCTATTAGACACCTATGAAGTTTTTCTTTTAAGGTTTTTAATTTAAAATTGTTTTATATATTGTATAAATTTGGCTATAGTATTAAATATAAAAAGAATATTTTGTGCTGAAATAGTGGAATTGTACAAATATTATTTTTTCAAATGAATATAAACCATTCCTAGATCCTGTCTTGACCACCCCACCCCCCTCCTTTACGATATCACTAAATCTGTCTCTAAAATAGTATGAATAAAGTCGACTTTCCTTAGGAATAATTACATACTAGAAGCTTGGAAGAAGAAATCAATTTTTTTCAAGTTTATTTGTGTCAAAACGATTAAAGTTATTTAAATAATTTTAAGAATGTTTGGAAACTGAATTTGACGCACGCGACGTCATTACGTTTTCAGTGAGTAACGTCAACGTTATTTTGAGGCGCCTTACTAAAATGCTCATAAAATATAGAAAAAGTGAGATATTTATAAAAGTTATGTATTTTTGCAATCAGAAAGAGTCAGGCTATCAAAAAAACCCCAAAAAGTCAATTTGTGAAATTTTGACCTTAAGGGCCCTTTTCTCATGACGGCAGTCATATATATATATATATATATATATATATATATATATATATATATATATATATATATATATACAATCACAAAACTTTCATCAATTCATGACAATATTAAAATGCATAGGTAATAAACACAACACACCATCAGATCCAAAGACAAAAGACCACGTTTTATCAAGTCTTTCATAAACGGTCCTATGTCCCCTGCTTCGATGTATTCCGCTTTATCACAATGCACTACATCACCATCATTGTCGACAGACGTAAGATGAATTTTATATTGCTTTCCAAGCTCTAAACTATAAAGAACAACATAAGTGAGTATAAAGTATCATGTGTAAGCTAAAAAATGTAATTTCCATGTCTTTGATAACATAAAACGACTTTAGTTAGTATAATGTGTAAAAGATAAAGATAACGAACAGTGATCAATCTCAAATCCAGTTAACAATACAAATCGTGAGCAGGGACAAAAACACGGACCCCTGGAAACACCAGAGGTGGGATTAGGAAGAACCCTTTCGACCAGTCACACCCGCCCTATCTACATATTAACCTACAACCCGGTAGTAAAGACCATATGCGACTCACCAGCCAGGCTAGTACAAGAAAGTTTTAAAGTGTCAGGTCATTTTTACATGCTGTTTAGGTAGAATAAACTATATTTTAATACTTTAAATTTACTTGTAAATAACAACGCATCAGATGTGGGATCAGGTGCCATGGAGGAGTGAGCATCCCCTGCACACCCGCTGTGTGCTCCTTGTCATGATCGGGAAATAACGGAAAAATCCGTCGACAATTCAGTGTGTAAATAATGTCCTAATAATAAGTGTGAAAAAAAGTCAGTCAGCATTTGACTTAATGATAGATTGTACATGTATTTGCTGACAAGGTCATTGTATCGACCATAGAACTTACGAAATGATGACTTTGAACGCGACTGCTGATATTCTTGATATTCTTGTTTCATCAACTTGTTTGTCAATTACTTATCTCGTTTTAGAAATTGTTCATACTTAGAGCAAGCTCTTGCGTATCGAATCAACTGAGAGATATAAATCCAGTATGCAAGTGATAAGGGTATATTGCTGCATAAGTAAGGGAAGTTGACGATTGAGTTGACTTGAAGTCAAAGTCATCACGTTTATCATAAAGCTTTGTCGAAGATTAGCATTAACGTCTTTTTCTAATAAAATATCCAAATATGAAACAGATGTGTCAGACTCCGTGATATCTTTTATCTCAAGCTCACCGGGATATATCGTGTCGACATAAGAATGGAAATAACCATTGTTAATTGACAGTACGTCGTCGATATATCTAAATGTCGAGTTGAAGGCAACAGCAAGTGTTTTCTTCTTTTCACGTAAAAGATTTTGAACAAATTCCGCTTTATATGAATACAAAATAGTTCTGCTAATAACGGGGCGCAATTGGTACCCATGGGAATTCCCACAGATTGCTGGTCTCCAAAAACCACATAGATATTGTCAATCAGAAACTCGGGCATCTTTTTAATGTCAACTTCAGAGTACTTGTGTGTACAATCAGATTGTTTTTTACAAAGTAATTTTGCAAATGACGAATGACAAGTTCAGTAAATTTAGCAAAGTATATTTGACAATTATCTGAGAATTGGAAATAATGTACATGCATGTATCCTTACATTCTTAGAAATTATATGTGCTCTTTGTTCAGTGAAATTTAAATCTTTATTAATTTTAAAAGGTGAAGATAACGACAGTGACCGAATCGTGCACAGGGTAAAAACGATAAGTTTAAATTGAATTACCAAGTTTTTTCACTAATCTTGGTCTGTCTTAGTAAATAACGTTTAATAGGGAAATCTTCTCATTCAATCCTTGAATTCAGACAAAAGTGTTTGAAGAAATTGTAGTATTCCGGAATTGTCTTGGTTGATCATGTCGTTTTTGTTTGCTATATCACTATTGTGTATTCTGTCTAAGTAAAAGCATGTGTTTTATTGGCGCCTTATTATTAACTGAATCAACCCGAGTCTAAACAGAATAAAAATGCATTGAGAAAATCCGGTGTTTGTAGTTGGATATGGAACCTATATCACGAGTGGGACATTTTTTTGTATTTTTCACTCTTTCACGTGTAAATAAAGTCCAATCTCACAAATATGAAAGTTCCATATTCAACGAAAGAGTAATGATTATCTGTTTATAACCTTGTCTTTGGTATTTTCCTTTAACTGTTTAACCCCTATCGCCTTTATGCTGTCTTTTTATATCGTCTGTATGATGAAGCAAGGCAGTTGTGAGCCTGAAATTTCTAAACAAAGATTTGAACAAGAATTTGGAAAAACGTTGGCTGTTTAATGCAGGTTGTCAATTTCAGACTGCATGGTTTATTCACCCCTGCTATCCATAGGGAGTTATTTCATTAACATCATTTTTGAAGGCAATCGTGCCGCAAAACGTCATTATCACAATGAAAATAACTGTTTTGTTTTTTTTCACTGTGAAAATAACACCTGTGAAAATTTTACTTCATTCAACGAGAAAATCACATTATTTCACTATTGAAATGTTAACTGTTGATCACTTTCTGTTATCTTTACCTTTATCATGTTGAAAATTCAGGAATTTTCATCCTAAAAGTTTTTTAAGATAATGCAAAAGTTTTGCTTATCAAAAAAATGTCCATTCCCGAGAATAAATCCTTTTTTGTACAAGTATGATTTGACAATATCAACTTCTATAGAAATGATACCTGTAAAGAGGCTTGACAAGAACCACCGGACTTCTATTCGTTCTATTTGTGTCACTTCTGATTCCTGGATCAATTTTTGCTTGTAAATTGATGCTAGTTAAGTTTGGTATTAACGTCATTTTGTCGTCTATGCTACTTTTAAATCTATGAATTCAAAAAAGTTGATTTTAAATTATTTTCAATTTTTTTTCTAGCATATATATCCCTTTCTGATTGATATTAATGAAACACTGTCTCACCATATGTTTTTCTTGACATTAACGTCTTTTTCAAGTAAAATATCCAAATATGAAACAGATGTGTCAGACTCTGTGGTATCTTTTATCTCAAGCTCACCAGGATATATCGTATCGACATAAGAATGGAAATAACCATTGTTAATTGACAATACGTCGTCGATATATCTAAATGTTGAGTTGAAGGCCACAGCAAGTGTTTCCTTCTTTTCACGTATAAGATTTTGAACAAATTCTGCTTCATATGAATACAAAAAAGGTCTGCTAATAACGGGGCTCCATTGGTACCGATGGGAATTCCTATAGATTGTTGGAAGACCTGACCTCCAAAAACCACATATATATTGTCAATCAGAAACTCAAACATCTTTTTTAAATGTCAACTTTAGAGTACTTGTGTGTACAATCAGAATGTTTTTTTAACAAAATGATTTTGCAATTGACCAATGACAATGTAAGTAAATTTACGAGTTCCATTTTTATTGAAAAAGCAGGTGTCAATGATATCAAAAAGCCTGGACTTTTATTTATCGTGGGGAATGGTTGTGTATAAAATTGAAAAGTCGTAAGATTTTAAGCTGTTGGTTATGGTAAAATCTTGTGATTTCAAATTTTCCAGAAGTTCCTTGGAATTTTTAAGTATCCACATCTGATTTACACCACTTCTCGAATATATTGTTGCACAGTACTCTTGAAGTTTCTCCTTTACTACTGTTAATATCTTAGTGAGGAGTAAAGATAGAGGCTTAGTTGAACATTTACTGGAACCCACTGTGTGTCTTTGTTTGTAAGGATTTTTATGAAGTTTCGAAATCCAATATAGATATGGTAATTTAAATTTATTTTGGTTGTTTGGAATATTAAAAATATTCAAAACTGACAAATGATTTTGAAGAATGTCTTCCTTAGAAAGAGAACTATGAGTATAAGTTGGATTACCACTTGTAGAATTAAATCCAAGTTCTTCTAAAATACATTTAATATAATGAGCCTTACAAACAAAGCCAATGTTGTCTTCTTTGTCAGCACGGACCAGTACGTACTGATCATGTAATCTACCTAATTCTTTTTTCACTTCTGGATTACTGAATACAGAAGGATAGATGGTTCTCTTATTAAATCTAAAGGACACCACCAATCCTCTTTCAAGAGATGATTAGACTACTGTGTAAAATGTAATAGGAGTTTTGAGAATCAGGGTCTTTTTGTATAAAAACATCATTTTTCGACCCTCATTTGACCCAGTGTGAAGACAAAAATCCCGAAACCTAATTGCAAATCTAAAGAACACCACCAATCATTTTCCAAGAGATGTTAAGACTTCTGTGTAAAATGTAGGAGTTCTGGGAATAAGGATCTTAGGGTATTAAAAAAAAAAACAACGTTATTTTTCGACCCTCATTTGACCCCAGGGTTAAAATGAAAATTCCGAAACCCTATTGCACATATACTAGTACATAACCCCACCAATCATCTTCCAAAAGATGATTAGGCTGTTGTGTAAAATGTAGGAGGAAGTTTGGGAACCAGGTTCTTTTTGTATAAAAGAAAGCATCATATTTCGATCCCCATTTGACCCCAAAGGTTAAAATGAAAATTCCGAAACCTTATTGCGCATCTACAGGACAACACCAATTATCTTCCAGAAGATAATAAGGCTACTGGTAAAATGGAGGAGGAGTTTTGGGAACCAGGGGTTTGTAGAGAAACGTCATTTCCGACCCCCATTTGACCCCCAGGGTTAAAATGAAAATTCCGAAACCTTTTTGCACATCTACAGGACACCACCAATCGTCTTCCAAATAATGATTAGGCTACTGCGTAAATGTAGGAGGAGTTCTGGGAACCAGGCTTTTGTAGAAAACACGTCATTTTTGGTCCTCGTTTTGCCCCAGGGTTAAATTGAAAATTCCAGAACCTTATTGCACATCCGTAGGACACCACCTATCATATTCTAATGGATAAATTGAATTCTGCTTAAAATGTAGGAGTAATTAGATTAAGAAGAAAGTGTGACAGACGGATGGACGGACCAGGGTAACAACAATATACCCGAACTTTCTTTAGTAAGCGCGGTTAAAAAATGCACCTATGCTAAACAAACAATATAACCCTCTAATCAATATACAAGTGATATATATGCTAATTTTTTTTTTCAAAAAGGAGGATAGTTCTTTAAATGTGTGACTTAAAGCAATCGAATCACTTATTTAGTCTTGAAACACTCAATTATATAAAACAGCCAATGCCACAAAAACTCATGATTACAGGGTGACATTTATCACTACATGATTTTAAAGTTAATTTAAAAATAATTGAGATGTACCATATTGTTTCATTAATACATTTCTTTTGTAGAATTAAATTCAAAGACTTTATTTTTGAAAGGTTATATAAAGCTGTTTGAGCATTGCCTAAACTCTTTTAAAAAGACTTTTCTAGCGCAGAGCTCAATTTAAATTGGTGAAAAAGTTTTTAAAAACGTCAAAATTGCTTTAAAATACAATATCTTAAAGCAATTTTGACGTTTTTAAAAAACTTAAAAAACAGCTTTATATAACCTTTCAAAAATAAAATGCAATTTATACTGAAACTGAAAAAGTGCATATCATATTGATGTATAGGCCGATCAGTAAAAAAAAAAATCACTTAATTAAAGTAAGATGATATCGCAAAGCTAGCGATATGCCTGACGTCACACTAGCCGTATCAGCTTCCAGGCCTGATACGGATACTGGATGGCTGATAAGGATTTTTATTTTCTATGTAGCTTGTAGCACGAGCTTTGATTGGTTACAAAGTTGGGTGTAAATTTCCGTACACCCGACTTGAGCCGGGGGTTAAAAAAAAGTTAAGTCACAATGCACACTGTCTCTATGATAAAAAGAAAATAAAATGACGTCAAGATGCATTGTAGGACGTAGAAAAATCTTATCGATAGTTGATTGGACTTTTTTTCAAAGAATTTATTTGGGTACATAGGAAATAAATTCGTTATCCAGGTCTACTTTAGGGTTGCGGGGATTTACTCCGGGTTGCATTCCATACACCCTGAGGCCGAAGGGTAAATCCCCGTACACCCTTAACTGGACCTGGATAACTAATAACATCACAACCTTAGTAGATTAAGCTTTAAGGTGGTATGGGATACCAGACAAAACTTCTCCTACATATTTATTCACCTAAATTAGTAGGATTTGAAATACCCTCACATCTCAATATGTAAAATTGTAATTTCAATATTTTTAAAATTATTTAATGAGAAATACAAAATGATTTTCTTATTTAATTCTTTTTCAAAAGCTTAATATTATAGGCAAGATTTAACTTATACAGAGTTGATATAAATTAAAACAAAAATATTCAAGAAATAAGTCAATTTTTTCTTTTTCAATTTTAAACAAAAATTAAGCAAAGAAAAATGAGGAAACTTCATTTCTTGAAAACAGATGGATAACATTCCTTGGTAGTCAACTATTAGAATTTGCCTAAATAATTTAACAAAATGATCTAAACAAATTGAAAAAAATTATAAAAAATAGAAACTAATCAGATGCATTTAAAAATGTTTGAATTAAAAGAACCAAATGAATGAGTTATCCTTCTTTAATTTTCAAGGGTTGAAATAACCTGGTTGCTATTTCAGAAATTAAAAGCATTTTCCCCCAAACTTAAAAAATCCCCCTTTTGTGCAGTGGTAGTTTTCAGCTTTGAACTGTTTTGAAAACAATGCGTGAACAATTACTTTCCAAGATGTGTCTCCTTCAGAACCAAAGTTCTAAAAGTTTTGGGGCTATATACAACGGGTAGTTGAGTTGTGACCAAACAGTTACTTTTGGAATGAAATAACAAAGACGAGTACTGATTAACATGATAATTGATTGGTAATAATGCAGCACAATGTGAATTAATCATACTTATTCATGCCTAACCGCACACAAGGTGCTGTACAGCTATTTAAACATCTTTTGCTTAAAAGTGTTCAAAAGCAGCGATGTTTAAACTTTTATGGGGTTTGCTTTTTAAATGTCCATAGTACAATTATTAATGCCGTCTTGTGAAAAATAGCTTCCGGGTGTTCTTTTAAACAATGTGTCTACAAATGTTGACCCGATAATAAGCACTGTTACAACGCGAAATGTAATAACAACGCAAAATGTAATAAACTTGGATTATTGCATTTTGCGTTATTACATTTTGCGTCGAGATCAACAAAAAATGTAATAACGCAAAATGTAATAAAACAATTTTCGAATTATTACATTTGCGTTATTACATTATGCGTTGATCTCGATGCAAAATGTAATTATGGACTCTTTGGTAGTTACATTTTGCGTTACTTATTTTTTTGCGTTGAGGAAAACGCAAAATGTAATAAACAAAATGTAATAAAACAAATATAATTATTTTTTTTTGTATTGTTTTGAACGCGAAACATCACAAAATTGTTTTAAACATATAACAAAGGGGAAACTCGATTTACTAAGCATATTAGACAAACGTTACGGCTTCAACGGACATTACTAAATCTAATTGTATATTTTTAAACTCTATTTCTAACATTTTTATTAAATACTTATAAAACATTAACTTAATTGACATGTCTGTTTATAAATCAGTCTGAATTATATATCCATCACTGACATTCTTGATTACCAAAGATTGACCATGGGTCCATTAAAAGCTCTTGATATGCATATACAACGTGCACGTGTACATTGCTTAGCAAATTAGAACTGCATGTGTGTGTGTGTGTGTGGTGAGGAGAAGCTAGGGGTAGGGGTAAGTTGATCATTGTATTTTTATGCGCATGCAAAAACATTCTATTTTATTATTGGAGAAAGAGAGAGAGAATTTTATTTTTGCTGGTCTGCAATGCACATGATTTGTAAAACAGTGTGATATCTT